AGTTATTTGAAACTATATATTGTTAACCATAGTCATCCTACAGTGGAATAGAACACTAAAATGTATTCCTCCTATCTAGCTATAATTTTGTATCTTTTAACAAGTCTCTTCCTGTCATCTCCTTTTCCCCCTACCCTTCCTATCTTATATTTATCCTTTGTTCTACTTTTTAACTTTTATGAGTTCAACTGTTTTTACACATGAGTGAGAACATGGCCTTCAACTTTCTGTTTCTGACTTGGTTCACTTATAATATTTTCTAGTGCCATCCTTTTTTCCTCGAATGACTGGATTTTGTTATTTTTATAGCTGAATAGTATTCTATTTTGTGTATATATACCACATTTTCTTTATTCATCTGTTGTTGGATACCTGGTTGATCCATATCTTGGCTATTGTTGATTGTGCTGCATAAACATTCCACAGTTTGTTTATCCATTCACCTATTGAAGAGCATCTTGATTGCTTCTGGTTCTTGGCGATCATGAATAAAAACACTATAAGCATTTGTGTGCAAGTTTTTGTGTGGACGTAAGTTTTCAACTCAATAGAGTATATGCCAAGGAGTGAGATTGTTGAGTGAGTGGTAAGACGATGTTTAGCTTTGCAAGAAACTGCCAAACTCTTGGGGTTCTGTTATCTGTGCATATGTGTTCAACCTGCTGGGCGTGGAGGCTCATGCCTGTAATCCCAACACTTTGGGAGGCAGAGGCGAGAGGACTGCCTGAGCCTACGGGTTTGAGACCAGCCTGGGCAACTTGGAGAGACCTCGTCTCTATAATAAATCAAAAAATTAGCCAGGTGTGGTGGCACATGCCTATAGTTCCAGCTACTTGGAAGGCTGAGGCAGAAGGATTGCCTGAGCCCAGTAGGTCGAGACTACAGTGGCTGTGAGCGTGCACTGCACTCCAGCCTGGGTGACAGAGTGAGGCTCCAACTCAAAAAATAAAAAGACGCAACCTAATTCAAAATCTAGACAGTTATATCCTAAGCTATTTAGAGCAGTTACCTTTGGGAAATGAGATTGGGAAGGAAGGGGACTGTCTTTTGCTGATTTGTTTTATATTATTTTAAGTTTTCTACAACAAAAATCTTATTTTGTAGTAATTTTTTAGAAATAAAATTTTTCTTCAAAATGCTTTGTTTAATTCACAGCAATAAAAAGTAAAAACAGATCAACATAGGTGAAAAGAAGTAAGACCATTTAAAACAGTATACTCAGTTTCCTAGCATTTCCTAGTTTAGAGGATTTTAATATTTTTTTAAGTAAAGAGAGTAATAGCCTTTCTGTAGTCATGATTGTCTAATCAGCAAATTTGTGGAGCATCTACCATGTGGCACAGTCTTTCAAGGGATCATGCCCAGAGCAAAAAAGACAGCACATATAATCCAGCCTTGGGATGCCAGACAGGACTTCCTGGAGGAGATGATGACTAAACTGAATCCTGAAGGACAATGTGAGTTAACCAGGCAAAAGGTGGAGCGGAGAAGGGGAGGGGACAGAATGAGGACAGTTTTCAAACCAGATACTGAGTGTTTGCTTCTGAATAATATGACTAAAACCAAAATTAATTGTTCCAAGCTCTCAGAGAAGTATATTAGATCTTATTGTTGGCACTTGTTTGGTAATCTGTCATTAAGAAGAATGGATTCATATCGTCTTTTGGTTTCCAAAAGTGAATGGCAGAATGCATTGCCCTAATGCCTGTTTTGCTTGGAAAACTGGAATAATGACTAGCCTGAAGATGTTTTGTTGTTGGACATTTGCCAGTATCAATCATATGCTGGAGATGTGTCATATGAGTTGAACATTGTATTCCTTACCTAAAATTTATACTCTTGAATGGTTCACTGTCACAATTTGTGAGTGTGCATTTATTACTTTCCTGTGCCATCTGTGGCCCTTATACTTAAATCTTTCTAAAAAGGAAACTATGTAAACTTCTACTCTGTGTCCAAAGACGTTTTTCTGTTTTCTATGGGATCCCAGTGATAAATTTTAAATTATTATTTAGGGGGTTAGGGAAAGAGGGAAAACCAGGAAACAGACTGACATCTAGACATAGACGTGCCTATGATTGCTAGATTATAATATTGGAGTGTTAAAAGATTAAGTCTTGTTATTTGATTTTTTAAAAACTAATCCTTTAAGGTGGATTTCTAACATGTTAGACGGCTGCTGGCTTTTATTTAATAACTTTTTTCAGATTGTTTAAAATAATATTTTCCTTGGATCAAATTCCACTGTAAAGAAAGATTATTTCTTTAAGACTTTAAATATGTAAAGTTTCATCATAGAAAATAACTGTTCATTACTAGTCAGGCATTGTGGTGTGTGTCTGTAGTTCCAGCTACTTGGAAGACTGAGGCGGAAGGATCGCCTAATCCCAGCAAGTTGAAGCTGAGGTGGCTGTGAGCGTGCCACTGCACTCCAGCCTGGGTGGCAAGAGTGAGACTCCAACCCCCCCCCAAAAAAAGAAAAGAACTGTTCATTAATGCGAAAGATGACTAGTATATGACTTTGTTAATCTACTTTCAACAAAAGTTACCATTGAGATCTTTAAATATTATACAATTAATACTTTTCCCTAGTGTCTGTTGCATTTAAAAGAGAAAAAGATAATTCTCATATTTTGGAAAGGAACAGTGAAATCTTGTCATCAGAATACAGTTCTTAGATTTGAATTCTTGCATTCATTCCTTCCAGCAGGATGACCTTGGGCAAGTTATTTAACTTTACTGAGCTAAATCTTTTTGTGTTTAAGTAAATAGTATTTAAAAATGTATATGAAGTTCTTGCAAACTATAAAGCATTACAAACATAATTGCCAGCATTATTGTGGGATTTGTCTTCTAACACACATTTCATAAGCCACTGAACAAGATTTCCCTGGAGGTTAGTTGTCATTGCTTATTCTGTAACCTCTGGCTGTATTTTCTAAACCTGTGTTTCACTGGCTTGTGAATTGTAGAGGAGTAGACAACCTAAATCTATATGCACATACCTTTCTATGACCCAGGGGAAATTAAAATGCTGAAAGACAGCCGGGCTCGGTGGCTCAGCCTATAATCCCGCGCCTTTGGGAGGCTGAAGTGAGTGGATTGCCTGAGCCCGCGAATTCGAGACCCGCCTGGGCAGCGAGACCTCATCTCTACAATAAATCAAAAAATCAGCCGGGCACGGTAGCGCACGCCTGTAATTCCGGCTACTCGGAAGGCTGAGGCGGAAGGATCGCCGGAGCCCAGCAGGCGAGGCTGCGGTGGCCGGGGGCGGCCACTGCACTCCAGTCTGGGCAACAGAGTGAGACTCCAACTCAAAAAAAAAAAAATGCTGAAAGACTTTAGGAGCTGGGACAGATCTGAGGCCAACAGACAATTCTTGTCCAAGGGCAAGAAAGAGGAGAAGTTAGAAATGGTGTGAGGCTTCTGGCTGACCATTGTTCACCTTTTTCTAAATGTGCTTATGGCTAGAGGAGAGGTAACTATATTGGGGGAAGTTAGTGTTCGTTCTCTTTTTCTGAGACTCTCTCCTTACTCTATTCACTATAACAGATGAGCAAAATATGAACGTCTCTTTACAAAGTAGCTGAGGCTTCTGCTGTAGAAAATTCCTTTCCTTTCTTTTTTTTGTCTTTCCTCTGTATCCCTCTCCCCCATTCTATTATTTTTCTTTCCTTTTGTCATTTCTAAAAGTGTCCCTTTTAAGGCTCTCTTCCCTCCATTCTTTATTATTCGTCGATTCCTTTCCCCTTTTGTCTTCTTTCCTCTGGTAATGTATCTTATTTAATTTGGAAAATTAGTATAACTATACTGTTTTATTATGCCTTTCTCTTATTTGTTATGCCAAGTATGAAAGTTGACATTTAGTTCTAATATAGTAAGTGAAAAATGTCATAAATTATTAAATTGTATTTTCACATATGGTATGCTACTGGGTACAATGAAAATAAGCACTCATATTACTGATGATAATGTAATGGTACAATGCTTAGACTGTTTGATGGTATGTGCTTATATCTATACCCTTTTGACCTGGTAATTTCATATCTTATAATCCATTTGAAACAAATAAGTCTTAAATGATGAAAAGACTATATATAACATCTTTTACATCTAGCATAAAGGGGGTTGCTTATAGGGACTGTGATATAATCCATGATTTTTTAAAGAGAATAAAAATTAGTATTTATAATACATCTTGGCTGAAATGGATTTAACGTCTAAGGTCAACGTGAGTGTAAATTCACACAACTTTTTAGAGTAATGTGGCAATGTATTCACTATAAATCCACATACTATTTGATCTAACAAATATATGTCTAGGTTGCCTCACTGATAAACTGATATGTACTAAAATATTTAGAGTGATATTCTTTGCAGCACTAAGTTTGTATATAATATTTTGTTAAATAGTAATATTTTCTCTTCTAGACATTTAACTGAAGGAAATAAGGCTATGGATAGATGTAAAGCCAAGATATGTTTATCCTATCTATAATTGCAAAAATAATGTTGTAGAAGACTGATGAAATCATCTTCTTCCACAGTACACATGTACAAACACATGTATGCACCGGAAGAAAGAAACATGTACACTGAATGTTAACTGTTTTTCTGTCTGTGGTTAGATATGGGTGATTTAAAAAAATTTTTAATGAACTATGATTTTGTTTATAATAGAAATAAAAACCATAGGGTTTTTTTTTTAATTTTAAAAATTAACCCAATTATGAAGAAAAGACTTGGAAAAAGAAGACCAAAAATTTCAATAGTAGCTATTTTTGAGTGGCGAAACTAAAGGTAATTAAAAAAAAATACTTTTATGTCTTTTCTGAATTTTTCTTTAACGAGAAAATGAGTATACTTCTTGAAAATAAAGACTGAGTTTTGTGGGGGCTTTTTAGTTTTGATAAAAAGCATGGTTGATAAGTAATTAATTAATATAATACTGAGTAATTTTTATGTAATTAACAAAATTTTTAAAGAATTTATTTTTATTTTTAGGCCAGAAATGTGCATACAGGAGAGTTGGCTGCAGTAAAAATCATTAAATTGGAGCCTGGTATGTATAAAAATCCTCAAGACAATTTTTGAACAGTTTACTCGTACCATTCGTAAATATAGGACTTAAAAGCATTTCCCATATTTCTTGTTTCCATTCTTCCCAAAAGAAGTCTTTATATGTTTTTTGGGTCAGTAGAATCTTTCCTGTTAAATTCCACTGGAGGTGGTTAATTAAAGTCGAGTTTGATGTGATAATCTTGTTGCCAAGTAAAATGTGATATGTGTACATTTTTACTTCTGTTTTAGCTTTTGTGAGAATTTGAATGGGAAAGTATTCAATTATTTGTTGGGGGATATTCAGATAACGTTTGGGATAATAACATTTTGTATGTCAGTTGTTCCCTGTGGTTGATGTGTTTGATAATTCTTGATCTTAGTGTAATGCTTATTTTATTAACATTTCTGTATACCAGAAGACTACTTGTTTTAAAACATGCTGAATAGTTTGCTTTGAAAACAAAACTGTATAAAACCTGAAACAGTTTTATGATTTTGATATCCTAAAAGTTTCTCATGAGAGCCATACTAGTTTTTGATCAGGTGAGTGAATATTTGGTGATTTGTTCATTTGCTGGTTCATAAGCTTAGACACAGAGTAAGTGTGTGACCATAATTATGCCAGTGTCTTAGTTTGAGCGGTTAAAATGGCTTTGCATTTCAGATACAGTGTTTGAATCATTATGCGTATGATTCATTAGAGAGATGATATTATTGAGGTAGTATAAGCTGGAACATTTTCAAAATAAGCTTTCAGATAAGGTACAGTTGTTTTTTTCCCTGGCAGATAAAAATTGTTATACTACTGCTATTTTAATCTTTTTATGAAGTTCCACCTAATAAATGTAGAACAGAATTATCTCCAAAATGCCACAAACACAAATAGAAGAATGTAACAGAACTTTACAAGCATTTGTCTCTCCTTGGAGGAGCCACATGAGCAGATATGCAAGTTATATTCAAATATTGGGCTGTGCTCTCAGAGGAAGCAAAGATGTTTTTCCCTTTTCTGCCTTCAGCGAGTGCCTGGGCTTGTTATATAGCACAGTTTCATTTATTTGACTTGAAAATATGGTTTACTTTTGATTATAGCTCATATAATGAATTAATGAGCAGATTTTTTAAATTCTGCAATTCTGAATTCTCAGTAAGCCATATATTGGAACTAACATAGGAAGGCAATTTGTCAAAAAAAAGAGAAAAATATGTATATGATGTTTTTACTTAACATATAAGGGTTAAATGCTGGGATCATAAATTAAGACCCTTTGGAAGACTGGTATTTCTCACTGCTTGGTTTTGCAAAACCTATGATAATATGTTAGATGTCGTTCAAATATTTCATTCATAAATTAAGACTGAGTAATATTTAAACTCTTCCTCCAAAAAACAGTAACATAGAAGTTCAGTAAATATTTTTGATGTAATCTTAGTATTTGGCCATTTAAAAATTTTTATTGCCTAGTCTTATGCTTTGCCCTAATCCTATCAGGCTGTTTGTCTTTTATTATTGATTTTTAGATGGTGCTTGCACTTTGAAAATAGTAACTTTTCTTGTATTTTGCTTCCCCCAATTTGTCTTCTACCTTAACACTGTCAGTTCTCTTTTCTCCATTCCGCACTTCCCTATACTTAGACCTTTTCTACTAGATAACTGTACAAAATTTTAACTGTAATTTTTTTTTTTTTAGATTTTTTTTCCTTCTTGTTTTCCTTCCAAAATTTAAATATAGCTGAGCTCGGTGGCTCAACCTGTAATCCCGTGCCTTTGGGAGGCTGAGGTGAGTAGATTGCCTGAGCCCATGGGTTCAAGACCATCTGGGCAGCAATACCTCATCTCTACAATAAAAATCAAAAAAATCAGCCGGGCGTGGTAGCGCATGCCTGTAATTCCAGCTACTCAGAAAGGCTGAGGTGGAAGGATCGCCAGAGCCCAGCAGGTCGAGGCTGTGGTGGCCGGGAGCGGCCACTGCACTCCAGTCTGGGCGACAGAGTAAGACTCCAACTCAAAAAAAAAAAAATTTAAATATTTGTTCAGTCAGGAACTATTTTTTTCTAAGGGTGAAAGAGAACTCTAGATTTATCCTGTTTCAGATGGCTAGACAGTATCTCAAAACCATTGCTAGTGATTCTGTCTTGTATTTACAGGTTTGAAATGCCTTGGCTGTCATAAACTAAATTTCTATGTAAGCATGGGTTTTGTGTTCTGTTTCAGTGTTTTTTTTTCCTATTTCTAGTTCAGTACTATCTCAGTCTTGATTACTATAACTTTTCATTGCATATTATAATCTTCATTCCTTTTGTTTTTCAGATTTATTTTTTTTGTTTGTATAAATTTTTTTGAGGAGAACTTCAAAATCATTAGAAAAAAGACACTCAGGAGATTAATTTAGAAAATTTTGTATTTTGGCAATAGTAAGGGTTTTTTTCTTATTCAGGTATTTGGGAAAGTATTTTAGTTTTTGCCACATAAATCTTCATATTTATGGTATTTTCCACTATTATGAGTGAGATTCTTTTTTCCCCTCTTTCTTACACTTTCTTTTTTTTTGAGTTGGAGTCTCACTCGGTCGCCCAGACTGGAGTGCAGTGGCCGCTCCTGGCCACCACAGCCTCGCCTGCTGGGCTCCGGCGATCCTTCCACCTCAGCCTTCCGAGTAGCTGGAATTACAGGCATGTGCTACCATGCCCGGCTGGTTTTTTGATTTATTGTAGAGATGAGGTCTCGCTGCCCAGGTGGGTCTCGAACCCGCGGGCTCAGGCAATCCACTCACCTCAGCCTCCCAAAGGCGCGGGATTACAGGCTGAGCCACCAAGCCCGGCCCACTTTCTAATTCATTATTGTGAATGTTTAAGTTGTTGATTCTCTTGGATATGTTTTGTCTCTGGCAGCCTTACAGAATTCATATTTTTTCTGATAGTTTTCAAATATTTTAAATTGTTGATGGAACTGTATAATCATGTCATATAAAATGATGATTTTGGGCCTGGAATTTCAAATTTTAGGATAGTTCTTCCTATGTTTTACTCAGTAAGCATTAAGGACCCACAGAGTATTGACCATCTACTACAGGGTTCTGTCCATTTCTCATTGCATTTGTGGCACTTAATGTATTGTATGTTAGTTGACTCATAAAAATTCAAGATTACATTATATCTTAATTTATTGATTAATTAACACATATTTACTGAGTGCCTAATATATGCCAAGCTCTGCTCTAGAGGATAGGAATGTAGAAGAAAATAAAAAGGCAAAGACCTTGTGCTTATGAGGCTTGAGTTCTAATGGGGGAGAGAGAATGTATAATGCACTGGTCACTCATGTTGGTCTCAGGCTTCAATCTTTCCTTTACTACTGTGACTTGTGGCCTTTATCTTTCAACACTCACTCCCATAGTTCTCTTTGCTGCCTTTTTTATCTTGAGTATAACTTTGCTAGACATTGATATTGCCAACCCTCCTTTCTTTTTGTTTATTTTAGGTGGCATATAACAACTGAATAGACCTAGTATACTTTAATCATTTCAGGGTCATGGGTGTTTTTCTTGTAAAAAATTGTATTTGACTTGGTTTTATAATCCAATCTGAACTGATCTCCTTTTAATAGATAAATCTATCCTATCACTATGTTATTGTTTAGAGAGATGTTTAGTTTTACTTCTGTTGTCATGTCTTTTGTCTTTAATGCTTCCTTTAAGTTTTTTTGTTTTTTAATTATGGCTGAGTATTTATTTTTACTACTGGGATTCCTTTTATTTTTACTGCTGATAATTTAAAAGGTACAATTCTATAGTTTTATCAGATGATTGCTTGAAAGACTTTGAATAATATACTTAAATTTGCGGGTATTTTAATCAACTTCAAAATGAAAGAAACACCTGTTTCATTTCAACACCTGATGTCTTCAAAGGTTTAAAGATGTTGAAATTTGCATATTTATACACTTCCTGTCTCTCCATGCCCCAATTTTCATCTGTTTGTTAGTTTATTTTGGGATTTCATCCCAGGAACTTTCTGATACTGGGGTATGAGTATGTATTAGTTTGTGTATCTTTCTGTTAAGAGCTATAATATTTATTATGTATTTATAAATGTAATGGCCAAGTATTTAGATTTAATCTTATATTTAAATAGATGCAGTGCCCACCATTCTTCTTTTTGTGCCATATGCTTGCCCTTGTCACTTATTAGAATCAGCTATTGACAAAATGAATCCTATCCAAAAGATTTTCCCTTGAGTATTAGGAATAATATAATTTGAATCTACAAATTGATTGTTCTTCCCAAACCTGCTCTTCCTTCAGTCTTCCCCATTTTGCTAAACAATTAGCCAAGCCAGAAATCTAGGTATTAACCTTGATTTCTTTCCTTTACTTGAACTCCAGAGTCAGTCTGTTAGCACGTTCCTTTGACTCCACCTCTAAAACACATCCTGAATCCATCTACTTCTCTTTATTGCCATCTCCACTCTCCTAGTCCCTGTTTCCTCTCCCACACCTCTCATCTCCCATCATCTAATCACCACTGGAGTGAACTTTTAAAAACATAAATCATATCATAGCACTCTTCCAGTAAAACCTCCCTGAAGCTTCCATGCCTGCTGAGAATCATCGTCAGATTTTTCAACCTTGGTCTGCTCTGCCCACTTCTCTGAGCTCATCATGTACATTTCTCCTTTCCTACTCTGCCTCTGTTTTCTTTTTGTTTAAACCGTCCAAGATTAAATCAGTTCTTCCCGTTCTGCCTAAAGTACTGTTTTTCATATTTGCTCAGAAGGCTCCTGGTCATTCAGATCTCAGCTTAAATAAATATCATGTCCTCAGAGAGGCCAATTTATAGTAGCCACCAGGCCCCTGTTATTTTTGATCTCTACATAAGACATGTGAGTGCCTGATACTTTTGTTTATAAATATATTTTTGTCTGTCTCTCTTCTAGAATGTAAGATCCATGCAAATAGTGATCATCTGTCTTCACTGCTATATTTTACCACCTGGGACAGA